TCCAAATTTACAATGCTCAGCTATTTGAAAATTAATCTTTTCCTAGCAAAGGACTGTCCTAAATGTTTCCCACTTAAACTGTTATATAAATATTTGCATTTCTTCGATGATGCATGTTCAAATTTGCATGCTGCTGGTTTGATTACTTAGTGTAATCATAGAATTTACATAAATATGCATGAAGGGCTCCATCATTTCCTCCCCTGTGTCTCATATGCTTTAGATTTATGTACCATGGGAGAGATGTACACTGCAATTCTGCTTAAGGAGGGTATGTTTCCTGCTCTGGCATCACTTACAGTGTGGAGGCAGGATTTATATGCTGCCCTTCATCTGTGTTTATTTGGACAATTCATTGTTAATGTAGCTGGCCTCTCTCCTGCAAGTTTTACTAACCTGAGTTTCATGCAGCCTTACCAGAGAAGGCTTTTTCTTCTTATGTGTGCATTGTGGGCTGTACTCTCATCTTTTCAAAATGGCAATAGTACAAAGAGGATGTGCAATTAGTTCAGAATGTGTATGCTCTCCACTTTCCTTTTAAGTCTGTGAGGACAGATAAAAGACTTTTCTAAACTATCAATGGATTTGTTTGCCAGATGATTTCCAGATGAGTACAGTGAGGGTGGAGAAAGCAGGACTTTTGGCTCAACACAATTCCTTTGGTTCCTTTCATATTTCTTTCAAAACAAGCTTTTGTTTGTTTTTTAAGAAACAGGAAAAAAATCTTGGCAAGTACAACACATTTCAGAGGGAAGATTAGTTTGTGTAGTATTGTATTGAAAAATCAGGCACCTTTAATTCTAGAGATATGGAGGAAATTTCTCAAGGCTTTTTCAGACTCTCTGAAGGATTTTATTTTTTAAATACACAGGTTGTAGCTTTCCTAATGTTGCAGAATGTTCTGTATGTGAGAAGTCTGAAAGTAATAGAACTGTCATTTTTACTACTTGAATCACTTTTTTCTCCTCTCCCCAGTATTTAAGAGGGCACTTGTTCAGTGCACTCTGGGAAACAAAAATGGAAACAACCCACCACTTTGTTTTGTGTTTACACCCTGACATTTCTAAACAGGAGAAGAATGCAGAACACTTAGAGACAAAATTATTTTCTTCTAACTTTTAAAGAAATAACAAATAGAAGTTTGGTGATTTTGATTAGATAATGACGTGCTATATGAGAAATATGCAGAGCAATTAGAAATGCCAAGAGAGTCAGGCATTTTAAACCTCCCTACCTGGTATGAATGCCAGACTGTGCTTCTTTCTGAGGAAAGAATTGTCACATTTTCTGCATGTGACAAACTACTTCAGTATTTGGACTGCTGATAACTACAGCACATAAATCACAAAGATTGAAGGCTCCAGTGGGTAAAGGAACAATTAAAGAAGCAATCAACTGATCACCACTGTCATTAGTGAAAGTGGAGGACAATTAAACAAACCAACCAAGCAAAAAAACCCTCATTCCTGTATAGGCTTGTTCACAGGTTTGGTGCTAAAGGCCTTTAACAATACTGGAACAACACTTTCCATCACAAAAATGTGTCCCCATCATGGTACTCCAGCCTATTGCACACAGAATGAATGTTCAGCAGCCAGGAAGAGATGCTTCAATAAACTTGTGTGTGATTCTCATTGATGAGCCATCAGTGTCATCTCCTTCTGCCCACAAGGGAAGGATTCACATTCCTTTTTAAAATTTGTACTTTGTATGATTGACCCAGTGTATTATCCAGATCTTCAGCTTCAGCATGCCTTGGAAGTGCTTTACATTCAGACAGACTGAACATCCAGGTTTGGTACAGCCTGATTGCTTTGCTGTGAACAAGTTTGCAAAACCAAATCAAATGTTGGTTCCTCTCTCAACACATTTTTCATAAGTCTTCCCAAAGGACAGATTAGTTCTTTTGTAGTGGCCTGGGAAAGAACTGTAAAGCACCTCAAGACAAAGAATCATGGGCTAAGGCCATGGTCTGCTGTTTGCTGTACAAAAGCAGGCAAGTGAGGTATCAGAGTGGACGTAATAAGACACATATGGGTTTGCAGTGAGCATGCTTAGCATATCTCTGTACCACAGAATGAGTTGCAGGTCTGGAATATTTCACTGTCAGTGCCTAAGACTGAAAAATCAGTATATTTATGCTGTAACTAATGCTGTTCACTGTCATTCTTTCACTTCATTACTGAGGCAAGTTGAAAAGCAAAGGTCACAGTTTGCTTCAGCTGCCATTGCTGGGTTCATCAGGCAGGAAGGAAATGCCTTCTGCTAGAAAGTATTTGATGGTAACTATTGCATGACAAGGTTGGAACAGATGATCCTTGAGGTTCCCTTCCAATCTGGTATTCTATGATTCTCTACTTCTCTTGTGTATCCGATAAAATGATGCTCGTTCCTGTATCTCCTCTGAACATCTTTCCCTGTCCCGGCATTGCCATTGTGCTTTTTCCCCCCATCCTGTGCAACTTGCTCCAAATTACTCTTCCCACTTGGTAAGAATCTGTTTCTTTCCCACCACTTGTCCTTCAAAGGTAGCAGTGCACCCATTTCCTTTTCTCCTAAAAGCCTTCTCAACACTTCCTGTGCTCTGGGTGGCAGTCACTGCTGGCTTTGACAGGTCCATATGCCAGGCTATGGCAAAGTCAATCCATGGCTGCAGGTCAGTGATAGAGAAAAAGTGTTTTTATTGGGTGGTGAAACCATTTGATCCATGACTCCAAATATATTATCCCACTGTTAAATGAGTAGGTCCCAGTAGTCTGTCCTAGCACCAGACATAAAGGAAGTTTGAAGGAAGATGCTGTGGAAAGTTGTGGATGGGCAGTTCTGAGTTTGAGTCCACTTTAATGACAGTAAGAAAATTGCAGCTACTGAAACTAGGGGAGGCAGACTTGACCCTCTCTCAGGCTACTCCAGACTCCATGTTGCTCAGTGAAAAACATCCAGGTTTCTGTTTCTCTAAATCAAATAACATTCCCTCAGAAAAAGCAAAGCTGTAATGATAATATGTCCAGCAGTTTTAGGAAAGTCTCAGCATGTACTGGGGTGGGTGCTGGTGCTGTGAGGAAGAGGATGAAAGAAGGGAAGTTTCTTCTAAAGCCCTGCATATTGCATAGCTCAGAAAAAAGTCTGTCACCATCTCATCAGTTGCTCTCCCTTCCCTTCACCGCACCTTGAATGTTCCCAGTGAGAGACTCCTGCCTCTGCTTTGCTCTTTGCTCAAGATATCAAACATCCTTGACAGCAGGCTGGGTGCCTCATGCCAGAGGACTCTGCACGGCTGCAACAGCTCCAAATAAAAAGTGAGGGCCTTAAGCAGGCAAATCTGGCTGCAAAAAGTCTCTTGTAAATGTTGTCATACTGAGAACAGTTCTTCTCCTGCTCTTGAAATATGGAAGATAAACGAACATTAACATGCTGAAGCTATCTACCAGTAATAAATCGCAGTGCCTAAATGTTTATGTATGGAACTTGTACTCACCAATGCACCTCTCTGGTTTATCTACCTGCCCCTGGGGAGAACCATGTAGCAGTTCTTTTGTCTAAGTACTTCCAGTTGGGGTACAAAAAAATATATCATTTAGGGCTGTCTGCTTAGCAAGGCTGTCAACTTTCCTGTACAAACTGTAGACGAGGAAAAAAACTAATGTTTTTCCACCCATATCTGGATGACTTGTTTAGCAGCAAAGCTTTGTACTTCACTTGCAGGTTAACAAACAAGCCAAACCCACTCAGCAGACTCCCCCAACACAACTTCTCTGCTAGGCCATGTTATTCCCAAGCTTTTCTTTTGTATAAAGTTGTGCCTTTAGTAAAGTGCCATTGTTTGCTTAGTCACTTCTTGTCTGTGCAGTGTTCAGAACACAGGAAACCTCAGCTATGCCAAAAATCTTTAATGAAGTATTCAGAGTACATTTTTAAAAGCCATTCCCCTACCTAGCTGTAAAACTGTAGTCTCTCTACTCAGACTAACAGCCATGAAGACAGATATATATACTGATAATTTTATTAGGCAAATCAATTCATTTGTGCTTAGTCCAAGGCATAAAACTAATTTTGCAGTAAGTACTTGTACAGATGAACTCTTCCCTTTTTTTCCAAAAGACTCAAGGAATAAGCTCAGCTTTACGGATTTGGAAGAGGGAGAAATTTGATAATTTTGGTACAGAGCATCCATTAGTAGTTATAAACTCCCTTGTTTTGAATGTGTGTTTCGGGTCAATGAATTTCTGTAGCATCCCTAAGCTCATGTAGCTTGGGGTGACACTTTCTAGTTAGAAATTTCATCTGGAAAAGCAAACACTCCTTTGGACTTGCCCTCTTCATAGGTCTGTGTAAAGAGTAGGTCTGTGCAAGCCTTGAGAGACTATGTTGTGCAAACAGCGTTTGTGACACTGGCATGGGACAGCTTTGTCCCCACGTCTGTTTGGTATGTCTTTTCCTACCTGAAACAGAGGCATGGCCCTTTCTTTTGCGTCTGGGATGTCAGGAGGGAAGGGCTGGCAAGGGCTGTGCTCAGCCTTAAATGAGAAAGGTGAAGCGGGGCCGCAGAGCCTGAGCAAGCAGAAAGGAGGAACTGCGGGATGGGAAGCGCTCCCAAGGAGAGGCGGCAGGGCAGGGTGCATGGAGAGTGGCACGGAGCAGAGCTTGCCAGAGGCCTGTTACAACAAGCAAATGCCATTTCAACAGCCAGTTCAGCAACTGGTGGAGGTAATGCAGCAACCACAGCACATCAGCTCCGGCTGTAAAACGTGTACAGAATCCTCGGTTAACGCTTATGTGCAGCACTTAGGAGCAGCTCAGTCCAGGCGCTGGAGTCGCAGCAGCATCTGCAGTGCAGGAGCATCTCAGAGAGCCTGGCCTGGCTGGGCTCAGCTGGGAGCAGCACAGTCCTCCCCCGAGAGCCTCGGGGCCCAGCGTGTTTGGGTCCCTGCTCCTCTGCAGTGCACGCAAACGAGCCCAGCGGATGCAAATCGCCCTCCCGAGCCCGTTCTCATGTTTACCTTGCTTTCCTGCGCGGCGTGTTTGCAAATGCTTGCGAGTTAAGCAGGGCTAGGAGTGCGTAGGAGCAGAGGGGATCACGTACACAGCCCTGGCAGCGTGTCAGGCTCCGGAGAGCCAGGGCTGAGACAGAGGTGGAGCTGTCTGAGATAGCTGCAAGTACAAGTTTCACAGACTCCTCTCAGAACATCGCCTGCAGGGCACAGATGTGATAGGAGGGGATGAATACACTCCTGTCTTTGTTGCATGTTTGTTTTTGAAGCTGAGCTTTTAAAACAATGTCACTCTTCCTCCTACGGAGCTTTAACTACACCGCACCACACCAGCGCCTGGATGTTGAGCCTGAGCCTTGGCACACACAGCTGCTGTTCAATCAGCCCTTTCCTTCTTGCCTGCTAAAGCAAGCGACCAAAGCAGGATGCCCAGGCCACGGGGAGCAGTGTGCAGGGGTTCTTGCAGGGTGCCTGTGTTCTCGGGGCCGTAGGTGTGGTTCTTGTGTCGGTCTGTGCTGCTCAGGGCCCCCAGTAGCACTGCAGCTCCCTGCTCTGCTGTCCCAGCTCCTCTGGTTGTGAAAACTGTGATGTCTTAGACCCTGCAGAGTAGGGACCCACTGACACTCATGGTCCCACCACACTTTGCCTGTTGTCTTCTGTGGAGACTGTTTTCACCACCATCTTTTGTTAGTGTAAAGCCCGGTTTTCTGGAGCTGAGTTATCTTAGGAATATTTGTTTCACAACACTAAGAAATTTCTCACAAGAAGACAAACTCTGTCTTGTTTATTTAGATATATTTCCCTTCAATCTTTTCCACTTTTAAAATTCCATTTGATATTGCAGGGTTTGGTGATAGTCCTACAGTAGCAAATGCCTTTAAAAAAATAAAAAGTACCACAAAACAAAAACCCTACAAACAGCTGATGGGAAGTCTCTCTTGTACACTATAGATCTGCCTTATATTAAATACATCAGCATGAGTATTTTGTATAAGTTTGAATTTCTTTGCATTGGAAGCCAATGATGGATTGCCGTAGTGTTTATAAATGCTGAGAGAAAATCCAAACAAAGGTTCAGATCACTGTGTCATCTCCTTTACTTATTTGCCCAATATGGCTGCAGGAATGTTATCTGTGTTTTTAAAAATAAAAACCCCTAAGAGATCAAAGGACATCATAGGAAGACTGGATAAACATTTAAGGATTCCAGCTGAAAAAAAACCTAGAACTACGAAGTCTAAATATTTAGGAGGGTCTTTCCTTCATCAAATAATACTTGGACCAGTTTGACCTTTATCTCATTCTCCTGACTAAGTTTTAATAGAAGGTTTGGTTTACAGCATGGTTTTCAGCAGCCCTGAGGCCAGGGAACAGATCTGAACTGGTAGTGCCAGCAATTATTTTATGACATGAGCAGGCATGTTTTTACATGATGTGGGGTCATAATGCAGTGATACTGAAATTTCTGCCATTCTTTAATACTTCAAGGCAATTTGCATTAGAAAAAAGATTTTCTGTTTCATATCCTCTATAAATACAAATTCTTTATTTCACAGTAAAGCATTGCATTAACAAGAGAATTATTTGCTATTGGTTAATTGTTTTTCATTGTCAGAGTTGGTTGTGCCTTTACTTTAATCCCTTTGTTTGATAAAGAAGCCTGTAATCCACTTGGGATGGATCTCCTTCTTAAAAGAATTTGGGGCTGCAGAACTAAGCTGAAAATGTCACAGTACTTTGTAAACTTCTTCTGTGGTGTCAGAATCCAGGTCCAGAGTCATCTGATTTGCTTGTGCTTGTCACTGCTGCATCCACCTTTCCTGTGCTGCAGTTCCCCTTAGCCTGTTCTGCACAATGGGTTGCCTGTACACTTTCCCTTGCAGTGATGAACAAAAATGTGCCAAAACCCTGGGGTGCAGTGACAAGCAGTTACCAGAGCTGCTCATGGTTAAAAACTCAACAATCAGGCACACAGGTGTCCTTTCAAGGGTACAGGGATTTGAAATCTCATCTCTGCTGAGTGCAGTATAGATGCACTTTGCCATTGTTTCCAGGAGCTGCCAGGAGTTTTGTTGTGTTAGGATATGCATGATCACGATGCATTAAATTCATGGCTGTGATGTTCTGGGTGAGGGGGAAATCCCAGAAAGTCCTTTTTGGTCAGTGGCTGTGTTGTATTAACCATCCTGTCCCTGGGCTCACCCTGCCTGCAGTCATTAACTGCTCCAGGGGCTCACTGATACTGTCCATTTTTAGGAGGGAGAGTATCATTAGACCATGTTCTGATGAATGATAGTGACATTATGTCCATGTAGAGTGTTGATCTCATTTGGCTTCTTGTGTGTTTCTGCTGCACAGAAATAAGCTTTGCTCGTATTCTGAGACACTACAAAGGTAGTGTCATAGATTGAGGATGTGTAAGAGTTCAGATTATATCTAGATTCAAACTGAAATTTAAAAAGCCCAAGAACAAGGGTTGGAAAGGTTGGACTCAATATAGTATCAGAAATGGGTCTTCTGAGAGATTATTATTTTTCCAAGTAGCTATTACTTGGGTTTTTATACTAGGGAATGAGCAATATATTCTGGTTAAAAACTTCCAAGCTGATACATGGGAGAAGGAAGGTCTTTGAAAAGTCCTGTCATACAAGCACCCTTTATATATTGATACACGCACACCACCTGTACAAATTCTGCTGCTTTGCTGTTAAATTTTCCAAAAAAGTTCTACTAGCAGAGTGGGTAAAATAAACTACCTTCACTGCAATCAGTAATGTTATTGTACCCAACTGTTGTTATCACTAATGAAGATATTGAGAGCCATTGTTGTCTTACTCTATTTGGAATTTGAGTCCATAAACTTTTATGAGCTATAGTTTAGATAATGTTAGGAAATGGCTTGTCTGGAACTAAAATGATCTCATTGTTTCAAACAGGCAGGGACAGGTTTGGTCTTTTCTGCATTACTTTATTTGCTATAAAACAGATCTTATCTTTCAAGTATTAAGGAATTGCACATTAAATTTCTGGGTTTATACATGAAAATGTAGTAGATCTGGCTTCTTGATGTCTGTTGCTCCATATGAGTACAATAATTAATTATCTAGTTCACAAGGAGAGATATCTATGGAAAAATTGTTATATTTTCTTGGGGGGTTTTATAAGAGATTCTCAGGTTTATCTGTGTGAGTATCTTTATGATTGTTAGAAATGTTAGAATGTTTCCTTTGACATTTTCCCATCACAGCTGGGATTAACTGCATTCTGAAGGCTGAGTGTAAATTTGTTTACTCAGTAAATCAGTGGCAGAACAAGATTTTTCTGCATTATCCATCTATCTCAGCTTCTGAGGAGCAAATAGTGAATTATTTGTAGTCTTTTGAGATTTGTATAGCTTTAAAGACAAAGTCCATGAAAGTCTCCCCCTTTTTGATAGCCTAAAGAAAGCCATTTACTTTTTAAAAGAGGATGTATGCTATCAACAAACTGAAATGTGCTGCATGTGTGGACTTTAAAAAGTGCATGCAGCATTTAAAAAAGATGAGCACTTTTTCCACTGAAGGTTTGTTTTCACTAGGATAATACACTTCATATCATCTGCTCAGTTATATTTAGGGAAGAAGATGAATTTTGTAGAGTGTTGTTTTTGCAGGGCTCAGTGAAGATTTGTTCTTGCTGCTGGTAGGTGAATCTCAGGGAATTCCTGTGCTCCTAGTGATGCTCTTCAAGAACAGCACAAGCTGTTGTGGCTCCCTGGGTTTAGGGCCAGCCACTCTGAGTAGGAATTCACACTGTGAGCAAACACTTCAGTGCTGTTTGCACTGACAATGTACCAAGTGAAGTCCCCACCCAAAAGCAGAGTCAAGATTTTTGGAGAACATTGCTGAACAAAGGCACAGTGAGGAAGGAGCTGGAATTTGTAATGTTCAGAATTATTGTTCAGCCCTATGCTCTCCATCCCTAAGTCCCCAGATTTTCAAATTCAGGCTGGCTCTTCACTTATGTTGATTGTTTTAAGAAAAGGATATTTTTTTCCTTCTTTTTCCTTCTGTTAAGAATGGAAAAAAAAAGTGAGGTCCCTTAGAAGTGCCTCCCTTCTGCTATATATTTCTTAATTGAGTTCTTGGCATAAGGAAGGGAGAAAATATGTCTAGCTATTAGAGTAGCTGTGTGAACTGGGAAAGCCTCCAACTTCCAGAAATATATTTAAAGGCTTCAAGAAGATCCAGATTTCCAAATAATTTTTATTCCTTTGCTTGGTCAGCTGTCAGTATTTGATAAATAGGGTGGGACTACTGTCAATATTTAACAGCTCAACACAAATATTATTCTTCATACACTGTAAAAATAGTATATGAAATGCAAATAAAGTACTTTATTCCACTTTGGTAGTAACAGAAGCAAGTGATAAAATCTCCCTTGCCTCCATACAAAGGCATAGAGAGGGAGAAAAATGTTACCAGTGGAAACAATCTTCCCTGCTGGGAAACAAAACAGTGAGATTCCTCACTCCTCCCTAAAGTCACGTCCCAAGGGGAGTTCTGTGATAGAAGTTTGTTGTGAAGTGTTTCTGAGCAAGAAACAGCAAGGTAGGACTGGTGATTCAAACCAGATCACTGTGAAGTCTGCAGAAACAGAGTTCCTCCTGTATCCAGCAACACATCACCAGGACCCCCTGAATCCCTCTGCAGTCAAATATTGCAATACAAAACTCAGTTACTTCTGGAACTTTGCCTACATTCAGAAAACTTCATTCCAGAAAGCCACCACTTAACATTACATTGCTGGATGGAGCAGCCTGCCCTCTCCATAGTGCAACCTGACTGTGGCATCATCCTGGGAAAAATAAAGATGCAGCCTGGTCTGTGAGAGATGAGTTTAATGAGTACCAGAAGGAAGCCTGGATGTCACTTTCCAATTTTGTGTTCCAGAATGCTTTCCTATTATTTAAAATCTTTAGAAACTTGTTGCTGTGTGGATGGTTTAACCCAACAGCCAGGAGAAACTGCTTTTTTAGCTGAAGGAAGAATGTGCATGTCAGCGATGCTGTGACAAGCAGGGCTGGCCACAAGGACATGTCCACACTGTGCAGGCCAGCTGCCCCTGCAAGGGCACTTGTGTTGGTTGTCTGATTAGGCCACCACCTACACAAAACAAAGGCTAAGGAACAGAGCCAGTTTATTCAGGAGACTTTCAAATCTATTATTGTTTTGGATTTGGCTTCTGTCCATTGCAAAATGCATTTCGTGTGTTCCTACAGCTGCCATGTAGAGTGGACCCTGAGGTAGTAGGAAACTGCTCAATTACTAGAATTGTAGTGTGTCACTTATTCTGTAAATGAGTGAGTAAATCCAGGAAGAAATACAAATAATAGTAAAACTTTATTATTCTATTTTGTCCAAAACAGCCAGGATGCTTTACCAACTAGCTCTTCCTCTAATCCTTTACTATGATTGCCACACTGTTAATGTGTTTCAGCTGCCATCCAGAAAAGTCACATCTCAGAGCCCATTCTGTCCCCCTCAGAAGGTAGAGCTCCACTGGAAACCAGAAATCTGAGCAGTTTTGACCAACCAACTGAAGGACAATTTCAGGGCACTTTAAGAACATCCATTCCTGTATTTTGTCATGGCCTTATTCTCTTAAAATAATTCTACTAATTCTTTTTGAATAAATAGCATCTACAGCTGAGAATACAGGGCTATTTAAAGGAAAGAAGCTTGATGCTAATTTTCAGTAGTTTATAGGATTTCATTATTTGAGAAAACAGAGTCATGAATTATCTCCATCAGGAAAAACTTGTAACCTTTGCAATTTTATAGCATGTGCTGAGGTATCAAAGGTTACTGTTCAAGTGTAGCTGAACATGGTGAGCCATGGGGTGCTGGGGAAGACTTTACACACATTGACACTTCTTGTCCATGGAGTTTTCCTTCCCAGGAATCATCTTCCAGTGTTGATTTGGGGGGGATCAGCAGCTGCAGAGTATCAGACACCTCCTTGCAGACATCTCTTTAAAGCCTATATGATGTTAATTATAGTCACTGAAATGTCAGCTTCAGTGGCCTGAGAAAAGGGGACAGTTTACTCACATAACTTCAGCAGACCCTCACCACATTTCTGTTTTTAAAGCAGACAAGTCACACTTTCAGGCAGGGTTTGTACAGCTGGCTTGGACTGAGTTCCAAACCTTTGCCAAACTTTCAGAGCACCTGTGAGAAGAGTTTCTCACTTGTGCTGACTTCAAGGGTGGATTAAGCCACTCTGCTTTGATGGATCTCCTTGATGTCTTCACTTGCAGCCTCTCACTTGTGCAGCCTCTGCAGGAACATCATGGCTGGTTTGAACAGCTGTAGAGTACATTTGGTATGGATGGTACCAGCCAGTGTTAGTGTGGTTTGTGATAGTTTAAACTTGTGAGGCAGGATGTGCTGAAGAGTCTAGATTTGGCACAGCAACGTGGTAACCAGAATCACTTGTCAGAAAAACCCCTGAATATGGAACTCTGAAATCAAGAGCAGATATTGGCCACAGTGCTTCCAGCAGTTTATCAGTGGAGATGTGGCAAATCCTCTTTCATAGTCACTGAGCTGGCAAACTCTTCATATGGACAGGACTGTGCTTCTGTTAATTTCTCCATGCACTAGGGACTGTAAGAAAGATTGATTTTTCCAGAAACCACTTTTAACTAACTCTGGGACAGTCACAGTTGTTTAACTACAGAAAAACTGAACTTTACTGATTTGTTTTCTCTCTAATGCCTTCAACTATAAAGCTGGCAGCACACACAGGGAACAAGTGCCAACATCAGCACTTCCTTTAAAATAAACAGCAACACAGATAACATTTACATATCACAAAGAAGTGGTTCATTTTTCTTTCTCTGTTGCAGCCGAGCTATAAGGCTGAATGCTTCTTCCTTTAAACCATGAGAGAAATAAATTATTTAAAAGAAAAAAATCCGTAGAAAGTGAACTAACAAATGCTTTTACTTTCTCAGAATTTTATCTCTAAGAAAATACATTTTAAGCTGTGGGCTCAACCACAAATTCTGATAGGAAAAAGGTGTCCAAATTTCAAATATCCTGTCAGGATTACAATTTCTAATTGGAGATCTGATGAACATAGCATTCAAGGATCTGGATCAGCAAAAGCATCCAGCAGAACCTGGTCTGGATTAGGGAGCTGTAGTAGAGTAAAATTCATATGCATTTCAGGAAGAACAGGATATGTTAATTATCTGTCAATATAACTACTTCTAGTAAATACTGTACTTGTATAAACATTTGGGTTAAAATATTAGAAATTGTATTAGACTGAAGGAAATCTTGCATCTATGTTAAGCCTAAAATACTTCTGAGTATCTGGGGGACATTTCATGAAACTCTTGCATAGCCTTGGAGCTGGCAGGAGTAAGACTGACTCAGAAACCCCTGGTACTTCTGGGTTTTAAGTATGTCATATTAATGTCCTTTCACTCCACCTGGAGAAAAATTCAGAGATATTCTAATGTTCCAGTGACTTCAATGAAGTTTTCTTTTTTTTAGACAGGACATCAGAACATCAACAACATGACTGGCAAGTGTGGGAAGAAGAAGGGATAAGTAACATTTTTGATCCCAACTAAAACACGATTGGCATTTTAGAAATATGAAATCCTGATGACCAGACTCATATCAATCCTAATGCTGCTGACAGTTTTGTGGAAGAGATCTTCAGGGAGGACATGGAAAACAAAGCTCTGAGTGAGTATAAAATTGGAGTTGTGTATTAATATTTAAGGCCATCTTGTTTTGTTCCATTTGTTGGAGATTTTTTAATAAAATGATTATACTGGCTAACTTGCCGACCTAATTAATTGTGGTGGTACTAGAAGTGACAAATTATCTGCTCCCACAGTAAATGTAGCTGCTGCTGCTAAGTGAATGCTCCAGAGGAGGGGAAAAATGTTTATATTTCCCTGACTATTGATTATTATGTTACCCTCACTGATCAGGATGCATTACAGCCAGTGTGGTGAACCCATGCAAGCTTTTCCTGTAAGTAGCTTTAGAGAGGAAGAGGTCAAATTGAACTAATGTAATTTCTTAGCCAGTCTACTAAAATCAATGCAATTTCAACAACCACTAAAAATGGCATAATGGGATTTAAATTATGCTGCTATTTAGATCTTGTCTACACACTAAGTTGTACCAGATTTGCCAATGATGTGTGTGGTTTGAAAATTGAATTAGTTCCTGCTGCTGAAAGATTATTTATAGACAAAACCCAAAGAGTTAAGAATGCCAGGAGCCTGCATGCCAGTCGAAATCCTTACGGGCTTGTTGACACTGTATGAAGAAGCAGTGGGAAAGATCTCCTGGCTAGCATTGTCCAAACCCACTCAGCCCTTCCAGCAAAGCAGTTTTGCAGTAGATGAATCACCTTGCACCCTGGAGCGGCAGTCTGTGAATGACTGAACATTTGAAGCCACATTTCCACATTGTCCTGAGCCCCTTGTGTCCAGAGTAAGTTCTCACAGAGATGCTTGAGAGTGCCTTCACCCAAAAAGAAGCCTTTACTGATTATAGACTGCAGGGAAATAAATCTGGTTTGGTATGGAGAGAACATAGAATGGAAAAAAAATGAAGATAATGACAGTAAATTTCTCCTTATAATTTAATTCCGCAATGGTTCCTTCTTAATCAGATAATCACAGTAAGCTAGCTGTGATTTAGAGGAAATGTTTATGTTGGTAATTTAGTGCTGTCTGGTAGCTACTTGCTTTGCAGGGGAACTGCTTATGATAAAAGAGCATTGTTGGAAACATAGTTTTATATATTTTCTACAATTTTACTAGTTACAGAAAAAGACTTAATGACATTAAATACTGATTATATACCAAGCCTACACATTTCCTTTTCCCTGAGAACACCAAGGATTTGGGTCTTCTGCTGCTCAGAAGCAGAGTTTGAGTAACCTGTGCTGTTGTCAGAACTTGATTATTTTATATTGTGTGTTCACCTGTCCATTGCACAGGTGAGTCCAGCTCCCAGACAGCACTGGTGAATAGATGTGTATCAGGGAGAGGTTGACAAGCCTGTCAGTCCTACCCATTGCTCCTGCTGTCCCCCTTCATTGCCAACCAAAGCCAGCAGCCTGTGGGGATGCAGCGAGGCTGTGAGGCAAAGAATCTCCAGTGTTTTCAGAAGTCCTCCTTTCCTGTGTTTATGTTACACCTCCTGTCAGCACAGCCGTGTTTCCCATGCTATGCCTTGATGTCTGCAAAGGAGCCAAAGCCTGCTCTGGTGTGGATCTGTTGGGGAGATCTGCAAGGATGCTACTTAAAACTGGGAGCACATTGTAAACACATTTGTTTCTTTTCAATAAAAAAGCATAATTCAAAGTAAAAGCAATAAAATAAAGCAGCATGTTTCTCAGCCAAGTAAGAACTGGGCACAATTGTGTCTCAGTTTCAGAAAGTATTGAATGGGTTATCTGTTTTCTGCTTCTAGAGGAGCAGAAGACTTCTCGTGTTTCAGATTCTGGGTAGGACCTTTGTGGTTCAGCCTTCGGTCTGTATTGGTAGTAACACTGTGTCTCTTGGGCAATAGCTGGAAATGATGATTCATCTTCATGAAGCAAATCTAACAATGAAACAGTGCAATTAAAGCAGTCCAGAGCACTTGGTTAGCAATGAACCAGGACACTGAAACCACCTCCCAGAGCGATGCCGCAGGTCACACGTGCTTGTGTTATGGTAAGTGTGTAATGCAGTCAAGCATGATGATACTGTGATCATGAGTCTATGAATTTCACTGATTTGGGGAACAGGGATAGGTTACAGACTCTCTCACACTGAATTATTTCTAATGAAGTTAAGAGGATAAAATTCATGCTTTCTGCAAGAAAATGTCTGCAAGCACATTATACACAACCAAGGAAACTGGTTAGTGCTACAGAGCAAACTCCTCATTCATTTATTCACTAAAAAAATATTGTTTAAGCCTGGCTGTGAACTCAAAATTGAAACCTGTAAAGATGCACCCATCTTTAAGCCTTGCCTGGTGCATGTGAGTGGGTGTGGGTTAGGTTCATTGTGTGTTATTGAATTTTATTTTTATTTTTTTTATAAAGCACTGACATTTAAGACATACAAAGAAAAATGGCCTCAGGGGAACCACCTCCAATGCATCACAGAAGCTTTGTTCAAACAGTTTTCGATTACTCACTCTAACCACACATTGGCTGAAGTGGTTTAGATAATCTGCTGTACAGGAACGGATTGGTGGGGAGGATCACCAGACAGCTTTGCACCAACCCACGTCATTCCTGGATGACCTCCAAGGGCAGGAAGCAAACACAACAACTGCTGAGCAGCGTGTTCCTACGAGAGCATGGGGAGGCACTGGCCCAGCAGCTGCCTCGCTGGAAACTTTCCCTTCCAGGACACGAGGAAAGTTTTGTGCTGCAGCATTCTTGGGAGCATGGAGAAAACTGCTCCTGCTGCTCTCTCGTTCCACCAGGCTGTGATTTTTGATGGCTGGATCGCTAGGCTGAGAGCAGTCACTCAAGTTCCATCATGTACTCAGGATAGGCTTATGCACAACATAAGCATTTCTAAAGTGCTGCAGCCTGGCTGTGTTTCTTTGTTGGTTCTGAGGTCAGCTTACTGTTTATTATCTGAATGCAAAAACCAGCAGCCAGGTAGTGTGCTAGGAGGAGCATACTTGTGCCTTCTCATTTTTAAATTCCTTTAATATTTTGCTTCTCAGTCAGTTTTGCTAAATATTTTCCACCCATGTTTCCATATTTTGCCTAAATTATTTTGTACCATTTAACATTTGTTGATATTATACTTGACAGAATAAATAGTGTATTCATGACTGATCTCACAATTAATTTTAGGATATATGCCACATTATTTCAAAGTAGTATAACTTTAGATAGATTGTAGATCTATCTAGATGTAGTAGATAACTCACAATATTTAGATTTCAAGCATAATTCAGATCTGGAATCTGAAATTAATTTTAACCTGACCAGTTTTACTGTCATGTCATAGACACATTCTGAGGAGTAAGCTACTAAAACAAAATCTTGCAGGCTCTTCTAGTAGAGAGTAAAAACATAGGCAAAATGAAAGGGAGAATCAAATTCACTCCTATATTGATATAATAAATTGCCTTTTCACACCCCAGGTATAAAAAATCCCCAACACAATAAAGCTGTTTCTAAAAGCATTCTCAGTGAGCTGAGTAGAAATACTCAGAATCCCGATGACTTGTTTATTGGAGTGGGTTGTTATTTTTTCATGATTTTATTTAATATGTACATGTTTTTCCAGCATCTGTCTGATTCCTGTGCTCCCAGCCTTGGAATAGCAAGGCCTGCAGGAAGGGTGGTGCTGGGCATGGGAACACCCCTCAGCACAAGACAGATGTTGGAGCTGGGAGGGGTAATCCTCTGTTTAGACATGGTACCAATACTAGACTAGGTAAACATGTCACTTGCTGCCTGCTCTGACTGATTCCCAGAGCTCATGTCCATAAACATCATGGCCTATTGGTATTTCCAGGAGACTGAAGCCAAGGTAACTATTTATGATAATATTAACTTTGTGGAAAGCAGATTCAAACATATCAATGAGGGCTGGCACCACGATTAAAGGTTTTCCTTCTTTTCCTAAAGATTTGTGTATTTATACACCAAATCTAAAATACATTTACCACATCTTTTGGCATAAACTGAGTGTTTCCTGGGACACGTTGATGGCAATGTACCATCACCCTTTTCTACACTGCCTTGTGCACACACTGTTTTCTGTTCACCAGTCTAAGGATGTGCTCCAAGAGCAGCTCTGAGTCTGAGCAGAGTCCCAGGCTGTGATTAAACTCCTCAGAATGTTTGCATCCCAAAATGACCACATGTTCTGAACCCAGTGATGATGAAATGCAGAGGAGCTGTAATTCCTTCTTGGGTTTGTGACTTAACCCTTACCAAACACCTCACTTGGCTTCTGCCTCCAGCACCTCAGATTCCAGGGCTCCACTATCCAAACTCTGGATGAACCTCACATTGTTATGACCAAGATTAAGCCCAGAATCAAGTAAGATAAATTAATCATAGACTTTTATGTGCAAGGGATATAAACAGAAGAAAATGTGGCATTTCAACGTGGCATCATTTTCAGATCAGCACCATATTCACACTGTTTACTCTTTTATGTAGCTTTTGTTTAGCTCCTTTTTCAGGAAATTGATTTTAGAAACAAATAACCATTTGTTTCTAAATAAGGCAGGAGGGTGCCTGTGTGTTGTTTTAGATTTGGGTTTTGGTTGGATTTTTTTTTTCTGGGAAAAAAATCAAAAAATATAATTTCTTACTGTTTCACAAATCAGAAAAGTATTTTTCATTCCAAAATGCATTCCAGACCTCCTCAAAATAACAGGCTGTTCTGCTTCCCAGATAGCAAATCATTACTATGTTAATTTTCATTAGAAATAAGAATTTCTAATTCTTAGAAATTAAATTTCTAAGTAGGTTTCCATCTTAACTATCTGAAATACTTAGTACTTAATCTGTTCTTTAACATTGCTTTTTCAGACTGTAATTTATCAATCTGGGTCTGTTGAAGCAGAAAGCACTTGCTCTCTCCTGAGTGCTACAGGTATGTCTCAGACAGCAAAATGGTTTCAGAAAAACTTTAATGAAAAATGTCAGTTTTTTGGATAATGGGTGGTGAGAAAGGAAAAGGTCTGCAAAATTTATCCACATGAATCTGCTTTTTACTAGAGCTGACAAGAATAATTTTATTCATTGCTAATTCTAGAAGTAGGTAGTTGTACTAGAGTCAGCAGAACGCTTGCCAAGTTTCCTTCGGATATGCCCTCATTTCAGTAGTGAATGAGGTGATCTTTTAATGAAAAACAGAACATAAGTAAACAAATAATACCGATTATTTTTTTTCTCCTTCCAACAAGACAGAGTCGTTATCATTTGAGATTGTGAAGTACATATTCACCATTGGAGTCCTGCTGTGTTAGCGATAAGGGAGCTGACAAGGCATTAGCACAGAGACACTGCCCTCTATTGCAAACTGCTCTGCTGCTGCTCCTGCTCGTGCATTGATGAGCCCAATGCTAATCATCAGGTTTAAAACTGCATATAGTTGGGGCATTTTAGTTCAGTAATTTTCTGTCAGTCTGTAACACCAAGGCTGTGCCAAATGCCCTAAGGTCCTAATAACCCAAGCATTTTACAGACAGTACATGAAGTCTGGTAGACATTGGTGTGCTGCTTGCTGCACTGCCCTTACCTGCACCTCAGCTGGATTTTGATTTGATTTGATTTGATGTGGGTTTGTAACCCGAAAGGCTCAGAACAGTGTAAGTCAAAAGCGAAGGGGAGGAGTCAGGGCAGCACAGCTGTCTCTGAGAAAGCGGCTCAGTGCACAGCCCTGCTCAGGTGCCACTGCTGCCCTCCCCAGCGGCCACAGGGAGCAGGCAGGAATAGCTGACAGGGGAGGCTCTCACACCAAAGCAAAGCAGGGCCCTGGCACAGAGAAGCCACTTCTTCCTACATCACTCTCAGATGGAAGGGGAGGGCCTGTGCTCAGGCAGGCTCCTGCTCAGCAGGGAGGACGCAAAGGGAGGCTACAGCAGCCACTCATACTCAGTCTCAGATGGTTTTTCCACTCCATTGATGCTGTCCAATGTGTTCCTCAGATTAAAGCACTTCTCATTAATAAAATGGGCCTGAGTTTTGTCAGAAAGATCCTGCTCTTGGTCATCTGTGCATCTCTTTAGATGCTGAGAAGGGGAAAGATTTACCTTAATCTAAACCACATTTAATTCTGTTGTGCTAAATAATGAATTGTTTTCATTAGCTTCCTATAATGCTTTGTGTTAGAGTTTGCTGGCATTTCCAGTGGTTCAAGAATGCTCAGTGCTGGAATTTTGGATAGTGGGAGCTTTATCATCCATCTCCACTGGCCTGTGTGAGTTCACTGAAGAATAGTATTTAACACTATTAATGTTGTCTATTTCATGCCACTATTATAATGTCACTATTTCATGCTTGTCATTTTAATGACAGACAACCATAAGGGTGAAAAACACTCGGTAGTTGTGTGGCATGAGGGAAAGCCTCAATGCAAAAAAGAGATGATATGGGGGAACCTTCATGCCAGCACTGCTCTAAGTGAGAAAGAAAAGAGCAGACAAGAGTTTGGTTTCTCATCTCTTCTGTTTTGGGGGATAGATTCACTTAGCATAATTCAAATTATACATATCTGCAAAATATGTTTAAGCATTTCTGGTCACCTTGATCACACTGAGGGAAATACCTTGCTCCATCTCTGCTTTCTTACTCTCAAGGAATTTTTGGTGTAACTTCATCTCCTTTGGCTCTTCCAAAAGCAGGGAAGACCTGGCAGGCCTTGGGCTAGAATCAGAGTAATAAGGATAAAGAAAGACAAAGCCTTGCTTTCCAAAGCATCAGGAAGACAGCAGACTTCTTGACATTTTTGGTAAATATTGCCATATGGACTTGTCAATTGTTATTACTATCAGTCTGACTAACATGGAGATATAACTGGATCAAAGGTGACCAGAAATGCCACCCTAAAACCCTCTGAAGCCTGTTGTTCACCCAGAGAGCCCTGCATGAGGAGCCCTCCCTGGCTCCAAGGAAGAGGGGTGCTGAGGAAGGAATTCACTTTTCCTTTTTGGTGCCTTTTGTGGGGAACATTCTATATAACTTTGGGAACCGGGAATGATCTGTTGGACCCAAAAGAAAAATATTTGGACACGTACCTCAGTTTAAAATGTGGAAAGTCTTGCTGACATTACTGAATCTAATCCATATGTTGGACAGGAAGCACAGACCTACAGTGCTGTCCTGGGCTGTGGTCTCACACCAAGCCACTTTTTTCAAGGGCAAGATACAGTATAAACTTCTCAGATATGTCTTACTGGCCAGTTGCTCCTACCACAGACATCTGAATTTGCTTAAACATTTGACTCCACTTCCAAACAGCATTTTATTCATTAACTTCCCATGGAAGGTAATTACAGAGCAGTAAGTGCAGGAGCTGTACAAATATCCAGTGGTCTTGAGCTTTTACCTGAGGTAAATATGCTTGAAAGCTCCCCAGAGGCCTTCATTAAACATATTTTCAGAATTTTCCTAGTTTGTTTTTGGTTTGGTAGGGTTTTGGGGGTTTTTTGCTTTGTTTTGGGGTTTTGTTTTGTTTTGTTGTTTTGGTAGCTGGACAGCTACTGGTTTTGTGTTTGCCTTTTTTTTTTTAATTCCTAGAGTGTTCTTTCTAAAAACTTGCAGTTGTTGAAGTGCTGTGTCCCAAAAAAAGATAACTTTGCATCATAATTCTCTCAAAAAGACAGATTTAATGCCAAGACGTGTTGGTACGTTTCCAAATATTAGCAGATACTCTTTCCTATTTCCAAGGTGACAACATCTCAAATAATAACTCACACATTTGTATGTTAAAACAAGCAAGTTTTTGAACTAATTGGTCAGAAATGGGAGTATTTGAGACTCCCAGCTGTGCTTGGATCTGCAAAATATCCTTTTTACAGCACCTAGGCTGTAATGTTAGGAGAGGAAGAGAGGACAAGGCTATGCTCAGGCAGGTATGGGAGAGAGAGGGAGGGAGCAGTGACTGGAATAAGGAATTGGGGTCCAGATCGCATCACCAGCTGGTGCACACTTCCTCGGTTTAGAAAATTATTCTATTATTTCTTATGTACCAAGCACAGCAACTATCTAATTGCTCAGAAGTTGATTGGCCAAGTTAAGGCATATAATCTTCCAAAGAAATGTACCGATTAAATTAATGGAAATTGTCTATCAGCAAGACAGAGAATTAATATACTCAGCATTGCCATGAAATACCGCAACAGCGCGATTTTACTGGAACGATACATAATCCGGGTATGAAACTCGTGAAGCACAACAGTGAAGCGTTTATTATTACTCTGTAATGCTTTCCTTGGCAGCGGGGCAGCGCCGTGCCGGGAGCTGGCTCAGCGCTGGGGCTCATCTCCTTCCAGCGCCCGCACACCCGGCCTGCGCTACTGGAACGGTTCCGTGCCCGTCCTTGTCAGTCGCGTCTGCCTAAAGCAATTATAGAAATTCCATGTTGGTTTTAAAATCACGCCGCTGGCACAGCTGGATCTGCCGCAGCTCACGGACCGGCCGGGCCCCGGGGCGGGTGACCCCGGGGCAGAGCCCGCCGGGGATCAGCGGAGCCCCCCGCGACAGAGCTCCCGGAGGTG